CTCTCTCTCTCTCTCTCTCTCTCTCTCTTGTACTTTTCCTCTGTCTCTCCTTGCCCTGATGACCCTCTCACCACATCGCCCCAGCAGCCTCAACACCCCGTCCCTGGACAGGGATACGGCAGAGAATGGACAAATGTGTCCCGACCCATGCCTTCCCAACAAGACACCCAGCTCTGACGTTTTTCTCTCGTTGTCGTTCTCACCCGATCCCAGTCCTGGTCCCACCCTTGGCCGTCCTCCGCGGCACCCCTTCGGTTGGCGGCAGCCAGCGCCGCCGCCGCAGGCGGAGGAATATTGCCCCTCCGCGCCCCCCCCGCGCCGCTGCTGCTCAACGGCGAGGCCTTCGCCTTCACCTTCGGTACGGGGGCAGGGGAAGGAGCGCCCCCCCCCCCCTGCCTCTGCTGCCCCGCCGCCGGTCCCCCCTGTAGCAGTGTTGCCTTGGCTTCGTCGAGGTTGGCGATGTCGCTGATGTCTCGCACGTCGCTGGGTAGGCGGGCCGCCGTCGGCAAAGATTCACGCGACACAGAAAGAGGGAAGGGAGGGCGGCGATGGGTTGATCGTAGGCGGGATAGGGGGCTACACGTCAGAACACCCTTTGTTTTCTGTCTTCCCACCGGCCGGGCGGCCCGCCGGTCGCCGCTGTTGCTCTACCTCCGGACGCAAAATGACACACACACACACACACACACAAACACACCACCGAAAATAATGTCCGAGTGGTGCACACCAGCAAGGTGCCTAGATCCCCCCCCTCCCTCCCACACAAAAAACATCCGCATCGCGCACACCAGGGAGGCGTCGAGATCCCCCCCCCGCAAGGTGTGCAAAACACGGGTACGCCCCCGCCCTCCTCCTCCCCCCCGGCCGGCGGCTCCGGCCAGTGCACTTGTAGTGTTGGCAATAAGACGACTCACTTCTCAGAGAGGTCGTGCCGCCACTTGGGCGAGCGTGCCTGCATGAGCTGCGCGGCGGTCCTGACGGTCTTGAGCACGGCCTGCCGCTGCATGCCGTCGTCCCCCGGGTTGAGCTCCACCGTTCCCACCTTCATCGTCTGCCGCCATCAGCCCGCCGGATTTTTCACGCAGAGGGTATCACCAGTAGTCGTGGTATCGCCGTGTACAGAAGTAGTGGTATCATTTTTGGGTGACCGACCAAAGGGGGGGCGGGGGCGGCGGCGGCGGGGGGGGCGTACTCTAATGTTTTATGTTTTGCATGCCTTCGCGGTTAGGCCATTGACCACGCGTCCTCGAGAGGACGGAACATTTTTGTTCCCACAGGACCGATCACCGATGGCCAATCGTTCCTTCCTACTTTGCCAAAGGTGACCAACGGGGGGGGGGGGGGT